CTTACGCCTGTTACTCCCAATGGAGCATAGGCCGCCGACCATCATTCTCCAACCCACTCTGTCCTAGTCCTTCTTTTCTAGTTTTATCCACTTCTTGTTCATTCTTCTCATGTCTGTCTCTATTTCTCGGCGTAATGTGTTCTTTGGTCTTCCTCTTCTCCTTTGACCTTCAGGATTCCATGTGAGGGCTTGTCTTGTGACGCGATCGGGTGATTTCCTCGAAATGTGCCCTATCCACTTCCAGCGCTTCCTCCTGATTTCTTCCTCCGCTGGAATCTGGTTTGTTGTCTCCCACAGTAACTTGTTGCTGATAGTGTCTGGCCATCGGATCCGAAGTATCTTGCGTAGACAACTGTTAATAAACACTAGTATCTTCTGGATAATGGCTTTCGTAGTTCTCCACGTCTCCGCCCCATACAGTAGAACTGTCTTCACATTTATATGAATAATTATCTCACTAAATACTTAATCCGACTTGAAATTACATAATCACTTTCCTCACCCTTCTTTATCTTTAATTAATTCGGATTATTCATCCCATGACCCTACTTCACGTATATAATACAAGGCATTTCAATATTATTAATCTTATTTTTTTTACAAATAATCCTGAATTCATTCATTATGATATTCAACGGTGTATTCCTGTTATACTTTGTCATTCTTCAGAACCATTCATTTTGATTTATTATTGTAGAATTTGATAAGGATTAAGAATTTTCTTTATTCATATATCTGTGTTTCAACATTATGATAATGTTGATACAGTGAATGATTATCAATGAAGTCTTATTAATAGATGAATTCATGAGTCGATGTATGTTAGACCACCTTGTATGCAACTCCTCAGCAATGCGCATCAACGATTCCGCACAAAGGATCCGAACCCAGAACCTTCGGTCTTGAGCATGAACGTGTAACCGATACCACTGAGCAGGTATATAATGGTGTTAATGTCTAAGTACCATTGATCCATGAATGGCTGTGTAACTATTAATGAAGTATTTATTATATAAGCATAGATGGACAAAAGGTTTGCCCACGCATTTATCATGAGCGATGATTCTGATTATCTTCTCATTACTTATTTATCCTTAACCACCTTGTCATAAATTATAATATGGTTTATATTATCGATTAACTTGAGTTGGTGTTATATTATTGTTCTATCCTAGTTTTGAGATTCATCTGCATTTTACACCTATGACTCTAGCCAGTAATTTGATCTAAGATGTTTACATTTAAAGACAAACTTATCAACTGACATTAGTGAGTGCATATGAAATAGTTAACATTTCCAATCCCAGTCAATTCATTTGGTATTGTTTGCTTGTATCTTGTTATTGTTGTTTAGGACTGCAATTGATCAGTCTCTTATTGGCCATTTGTGCATACTGTGCGTATTGCCTCGATATAGCCTTAATTCACAAGCATTATAAGCAAAAATGGATATTGGTTAACAATGGAATCCAGGACGTTTGTTTCGTCCTATTTAAGACTTGTCAGCTGGATGTACCTGCATCTCAGAGTTGATGTTCACTCAGGGACTCAAACTCAGTACCGTTCGCTTCAGACACCATCGCGTTATTCACTTAGCATATATTCATTAATGGGAGATTCTACAAGTATAGAGTTAAAAACTTGTAAATCTTTGTATGTATTGGAGTTAATCTTAAAGTTAAAAATAAATAGTATGTGACCTACATAAACAGTCTGTAATAAACAATTAGTTAGTTGTTATTGTGAGGTTACTTGGAGACATAAATATTTTACTTATTAGTTATATATATCAGACAAAGAAATTGAACCCTTAACTTTAAGTCCCCTGATATGAACTCATCACCTATTCATTTCATTTCAGCTTTCTGTATGATGAATTGTCAAGTTTACTGTCAGTGAAATGAGGAAAATACGAAAGTTTACTCTACTAGGTTACTAATCATGAATATTGCAGTAACATATCAAAATAATAACCGTTTACCATGCTAACTACTGTAATGAAATGACCATTGATGACATATGTATTTATAAATGAGTATACATACATCCTCATTAAGTTGGTGAACTTCGTTCTCACTTTCAATTTCCTCAATTTCTATTTGGTTTGGTTTGTGTATAGCAGGATTAGGTATCAGTATCAAGTCTTGGATACTGCAATTCATAATATTAAACAATAAAATATGTATATGTAATTTGTTCTTTGTCTTGTTCTTTTCCTTTGGCTTTCGGGATTCCATGTGAGGGCATGCCTTGTGACGCAGTTGAGTGATTTAATCAATGTGTGTCCTATCCACTTCCAGCGCTTCTTCCTGATTTCTTCCTCCACTGGATAGAATCTGCCTTGTTCTCTCTCATGTACGTGTAGAAGCAATGATTTTTTAAGTTCGTTAGTTGATTACGACCAATACGGAATATAACCTTAACACTTGAGCGTTTAAAAACATCCAAGTTGCAAAATAAAAGACAGACATAAGTTTTTACTCAGAGAAGCGTCAAAATGTACAGAAAAATAGGTGTATTTATAGCTTTTGGTATATGCTGTAACATCATTATAAACCAGCAAGTTTTAGTTGTGAAATGATCTGACTCCCAATTTGGTCGTATGAATGATTGATTGTCAATATATACATCCTGTCTATCCTCGTATGTAATACATGACTGAATTTGTGTCAGTGAATAACGGAATTAAATAAGTCAAATACGAGAATGGATTTTGAATATGTATATTTTGAACACTCATTGATCTTGACCGGAAATCAAAGGGATGAAGCAAAATGACGTACATTGGAGATGACGGGTAAACCAACTCGCTTTATTCAAGCGTTAATCAATATTTATAGTCAGACGAGAATAATGACAGACATGTGATAAGTAGTATAAGAATTGAACACACACCTACGCTCATATAAAAAATAGTCGGGGTTAATAAGTGAATAATTAACAAGGTGAAAATGTGACTCAAGATGGATAGGCAAATTGGCCTGTCCAGAAGTTAGAATAAGGTAATATGGGCTTAAAATATCAACCGACACTACAAAATCCTCAAACAGGAAGTTTATACAATTGTCCTACTACGGTGATATTCTAGAAACTTCTGTCGGACTGTATTTAAATGAATGTTCTCCGACTATTTTAAAGGCTCTAGAGACACCTTCTATGATTCGTCCTAACACAGTTACTCTTTGAAATGATTAGTAAAATTGTAAATCACTAAAACTTCAGTATTGTATTTATGAAGTTACAATTTAGAGATTATTTCTATCTGAAGATAAGACTAATTTCCTTTGATACAGTTGAAATTCAATTACCACTGCAAAAAACCAATAAAACATTGATAGCATTATTCCATATTCTGCGACACCATTAAGAGAATCGACCATTCAGCTACCTGAGATGACAGACAGGATAGTGAATTTACAATACATGGCCGTAGTTTAACAGAAAGCTCCGTTTATTTGTTAGCTAATTACAACTCCTAGTTGTATTTTACCGAGGTAAGCCTTAACTTGGAATCCTGAGTGGAAACAAAATGAGGAAGTCCGATGAACACACTGTGTCGAGAATTGGAAGCAGATATGAAATGGATGAATAAAAAAATGAAAAGAACTGGAAATAATTATCCAGGGTGAGGTTAGATAGAGAATGTTGGTGAGCGGCCTATGCTTCTCCATAAGGGGTAACAAGTAGAAGTAAGTAAAGACCGTTTTAACTGAAAGAAATTCATCTTGATCGTTTATTCATCTGAACGGTATCTTCTATCATATTATATTCCTATTTATTTCTTTTTATTTTAGACTGCGCTCTCACTACCTAATGCATTTCTTTGTACAGCTCTTTCTTTCTTAATATGACCCATCCCTTTGTACTGAAATGTATACATAGGAAATAATCAGATGAACGGTTAATACTATTATACAATGAGTCCCATTATTATTATTATCACTTTTATTATTAGCTTTATTCAATATTATATTTTTAGTACAACATAGATTTCTCAGAACAAAGTATTTCAACATGTTTCTGTTTCTAACTTCTTGATCGACCATGACGACAAATATTGATTGATCAACAATTAGATGTTAGCAATCCAGTCAGTTGACATCTGAATAATGCACATTCTTTCCAATCTATATTGCCAGCAACCACGATATCTCTGATTGAGGCTTTTGTAACTTGTATAACGAAAAGTTGTACACTGTTCAGGGACGCATCTGAATAGGTTATGCAATTAATTGAGTTTACTGAGGGAGACAACAAACCAGATTCCATCCAGTGGAGGAAGAAATCAGGAAGAAATACTGAAAGTGGATTGAGCACACTTTGAGGAAATCACCCAATCGCATCGCAAGACAAGCCCTCACATAGAATCCTGAAGGTCAAAGGAGAAGAGGAAGACCAAACAACACATTACACCGAGAAATAGAGACATACATGAGTAGAATGAACAAAAACTGGATAGAACTAGAAAAGAAGTCCAAGGACAGAGTTGGTTGGATAATGGTGGTCGGTAGCCTATGTTCGATTGAGAGTAACAGGCGCATGAAAGTAAGTGAGTAAATAATGATCTGTTAGGATAAACAAGGAAACTGATGACTTGTTGAAACATCTAGATGGTCGAAACAGATAGTTTAGATATTTAACCAAGTGGTCACTACTTTTGTTTAACCTAAATAGTAACCATTTATTTTTGTTTGTTTGTTTGTTTAAATCAAAGTATAAAATTCATGATTGACAATCATCAAAAACCGCCTCATTTATAATCACATGTTATAACAGAATTAAATGAATAAAACCAAAACCTTAATTGGTATAACTTGAGGCAAATAGAAATTTGCAAAGTTTCATGGATAATAATGAAAAGAAAAAAAAACCAAAGAAAAAAATTCCCTAAAGCAAATTTTAAAAAAAGAAAAAAAGAAAACTTCATATAACTATCAGTATCAAATAACAAATGAACTAGACATAGATAATTGTTCTTTCTCATATTACATTTAAACTTCTTAAACTGCGTACTCTTCTTCTTCTTTTCCTTCTTCTTCCTCCTCTTCATCATCATCATCATCATCATCATCATCATCATCATCATCATCATCATCATCATCATCATCATCATCATCATCATCATCATCATCATCATCATCATCATCATCATCATCATCATCATCATCATCATCATCATCATCATCATCATCATCATCATCATCATCATCATCATCATCATCATCATCATCATCATCATCATCATCATCATCATCATCATCATCATCATCATCATCATCATCATCATCATCATCATCATCATCATCATCATCATCATCATCATCATCATCATCATCATCATCATCATCATCATCATCATCATCATCATCATCATCATCATCATCATCATCATCATCATCATCATCATCATCATCTTCTTCTTCTTCTTCTTCTTCTTCTTCTTCTTCTTCTTGTTCTTTTTGTTATAACGTGTGAGTGAGCATGCCAGTTGTTATATCTATTGCGTGCCCAACCTAATATATAAATCTGCTAAGACCACCTATCAGAGAGCATTGATTTTATCGATCGGATCCAATGATGCAAAAAAATCGTATGACCAGTCTTTAGTACTTATCAGTCCTCCTTTCTGCCTAATCCAGCCAGTTAAATCCAGAACACTAATAACAGCCTCTGCAATATGAATCGTTATTCTCAAACTGACTGGATTTATATACTAACCAAACTGACCATATCGTAACATAAAATTGAAAATAACATTTGTACAAGGTTAAACCAAATGTGGCTATGAATGTGGGGAACAGCAATTAATAGACTTTATATAACTCAGGAATGGTTAATCGTATAATAATAATTCATAGGTCAAAATAAAGCTTATGATAAGAGGACACGAATATGAATAGTTTAGTTACTTAACAATTATACAACGGGAGATATACATATCATATTGGTCCATAAATAGTTCGCAAAAGTTACCATTCATAATTCTCCACGGGATGGAATTATTATTAATATTATTATTATTATTATTAGTACTAGTAGTAGTAGTACTAGTAGTAGTAGTAGTACAGTTTGCTGGAACTTTATGCCAGCTCAAATTTATATTCTCTTTTTGAAACAAGAAAAGATAAGGGTTTCATGTGTATGGATAAACAAATCAGTCATAAGTGAAGTAGTAAACATTTGGTAATGGAATGCCATGTTCAAACAATATGTGACATAAATTATACATCTATATATATAGACATCATTATCATTCAGTATTGGTGATAATGTAAGTCTACATTCATTACATCGCAAACTCAATTTCATATTCAATTTCATTGATAACAGATAGGTCAAACCACATGAAGACATTGGTATTAATAAAAGCTAAACAAAAGATGAAGGTAGAAGATTCTATTTCAAGAACATAAATATGAACCGATCATCATAAAAATATCATGAATAGATCAACGTTAGACCACTATAGATAATATGAAAGTCAGATGGTGGTTGGAGATGATCAACAGGAAACCCTGTACCCATGTTTCGTGCTACTTGGCACTCGTCCCGGGTCAGTCAGCTTCACAGTCAGAGACGTTACTACTGAGTTTGTTCACATCTAATTTGGTTAAGCCCTTTTGTTAACTTATTTAACGGACAGAGTCATTCGTACAATAAAAACCTATATATACTATTGTACCTTTATTATGTACGCTTGAGCACTGTTTAGTATCTACATATATATTTATTCTGCTGGCCTTACCATTAATTGCTTAATTGATTCGATGATTAATTCTTTTCATATATATATATATATATGTACATTTTAATCCTGTTCACTGACTCAATGACTCGCATACTCGTTAATTGATTCGATCACTCACTCACTTGCTTTTTGGCACTACTCTATCATGCTTGCTTAAAGTGACTGTAATCTTGAATATCTCTGCGTGTTTCAGTAATAAACGCAATCAATACTTCGTATTCTCCATCTGATTGATACACCGTTGGACGGTTATCTAGTAACGGTTATCAGGACGAACAACATACGAAGCTTAAGGATAATATCGAGTACCGACCACCACACATTTTATATCAAACATTGATTAGTACATTGTTTAGTAAATTCCATTATACAGTAGGATATATGTAATAAAAAAAAATTGAATAAGAATAACTAATAATCTAGCCTTAACAATTCGATATGTCATCGATGAGATAATTTACAACTTCAGTTAACTAACATACAATCGGAAGAGGTTTTGTGGAGATTTCAGAATTTTCATAGTTAAAATCATGAATCCATTGAAGCTAGACCACCATGGAAAACCTGCAAGCACTGGACGGCCGTTTTGTTCTATTATGGGACTCCTCAGCAGTGCGCATCCACGATCTCACCTCATGCGAATCAAACCCACGAACTATCAGTCTCGCGCCAGTTCAATTACCCCTAGACCACTAGGCCGGCAGTCATCCAACGTTGTAAATGTCTAGCTTCAACCAATCCACTATGTTTGAACAATCGCTCAACAATTGTCTTCAGTGAGTTTATATCTCTACAACAGACGTCGTTTGAACTCCACTGGTCACTGCTTCTCACTAGAACTCCAGAAAATATTTCTTGAATTCAGTCACTAGTGAGCATATGATCATTATCAGAAGGGATTTTGACTCATGATTTCAACTATGAAAATAATAAAAAATCCATTAATTTCAATTGTTTATTTCAGTAATATCGTGTTTTGAGAGAAATTTAATTTCACGCAATAAATAATTTTTTTTTGGAAAATGTCTCTATATATATACATCATAAACAATTTGATCCCTTTCTCTCTCTTTCTCTCCCCCTCCCTCTCTCCCTCTCTGATATATCTTACTGTGTTTTTTTTTCTTGTTCAATTTATGAAAAACAACATAACAATTACCATCGTCAAAATAAAATTCTAAAAAAAACATTCAACCGTAACAACCTAGTTACAACAAACTAAATATATTTTTCATAGTTGTTATCATGATACAATTGAAGCTAGATCACCATGGAAAACCTAGAAGCACTGGACGTCCGTTTTGTTCTATATTAGGACTCCTAAGTAGTACGCATCTACGATCCCGCACTCACAAAATTCGAACCCAGGACCTACCAATCTCGCGCCTGAGCATTTAACCGATAGACCTTTGATCCAGCCTGTCTTTTTGTTGTCGTTAGGTTTGTTGTTCTATCTTGATAAAACAAAAAGAATAAACAAAGACTGAATGAAAATAAAATTGAGACAAAATATTTTTTAAAATGGGAAAATAAAAATCATAAATGCGTATTACATTCAATATGTACATATATATATATATATATTCTGTACTATTCGAATGAGAACCATAAATGTAACCATGACAACAATAATAATCATAATAGATTACGTCATAGGATTTGATACAGTAATCATGTATTCATTAAAAAAAACATCAACAAACAACAGGATTTATAGACGTAAATTGATAAAAAAACAATTATGAATTACTACATGATTTATTTATTTATTGTGACTAGCAGTGGAATCCAGGACGCGTGTTTCATCCTATTTGGGACTCGTCAGCTGGATGTACAATATACGACAGTTGGATTCGGTCAGTATAACGTTAATAATGCATACTAACTAATAATATTTTTACAGATTGAATAGGAAAGCCTATTGAATGTATATTAAATCTATAATTAACTAAATTTTCATTGCATATTATCAATGTGGCCTGTAAATGTATAATTGAAAGTCCTTATACCCTAACCTTCCTTAGAGTAATTAGAAATATTCAAAAATAAAGAATTTTCGGGCTTACTTACGTCTGTTACCCCTCATGGAGGAGTATAAGTCACTCATTAGCACTCTTCATCCAATCCTGTCTTGTATACTTCTTTCCAATTGTTATTCATCATTTTCATATCTGCTTATATTTCTAGGATTTTTATTTTATATTTGGGAAAACTTTTTTTCAGCTTTGCAGTTATATACAATATATTTCAAAGTTGAAATCATGAGTCAATTGAAGCTAGACCACCAACGAAAACCTGGAAGCACTGGACGGCTGTTTCGTCCTATTATGGGACTCCTCAGCAGTGCGCACCCATGATCCCGCACTCGCGAGATTCGAACCCAGAACCTACCAGTAACGAGCCAGAGCCCTTAACCGATAGACCACTGATCTGGCCGGCATCCGATGGTGTTAATGTCTAACTTCAACTGATCCACGAATTATGAGCGACCATTCACCAATCGGTTAAGGGCTCTGGCTCGTAACTGGTAGGTCCTGGGTTCGAATCTCGCGAGTGCGGGATCATGGGTGCGCACTGCTGAGGAGTCCCATAATAGGACGAAACAGCCGTCCAGTGCTTCCAGGTTTTCGATGGTGGTCTAGCTTCAATTGACTCATGATTTCAACTTTGAAATATACTGAAATCTCCACAAATCCCCTTCTGATTATATACAATAGTTATTGTATTGTAAAGACCAATACTATAGATTGAATATTGTCGATTTCATGCCAGTTATACTTAAGACACCTACAAAATTTGGCACACGTAAAGTGTATAGATTATAAAAGAAAACACACCAAAAAAAATCTCATTTAGGGTAGTGAGCTGTAATCAATCTAATTGTATGATGGCCATAGAACAGATGATTGCATGACTATTTTAATCAGAATAATTTCGATAATAGTAAAGACAAAAATAAAGTTTTGTATAATTATAGAAATGAACAAACGGTATATGTCGTATCCTAGTGAAGACATAAGTACAGGTAACTTTCGGGACTTATTAATGGACGATTATTCTACATACATTCTGATTGTTTAACCATAAGCTTCATTTTGACCTACGAATCATTACAAAACGAATGACTGTTCCTAAATTATATTCAGTTTATTGATTACTGTCTTCCACGTTCACAGTCACATTTGGCTTGATCCTGTATAAATGTTATTTACTATTTTATGGTGTGAAGCGGTCTGTGTGTATTGTATATTATCCGAGTATGCCTGAAATAAATTATTCTCATGACAGAAGCTGTAATTAGTATTTTTGGACTCAATTGAAAGGGCTAGGCGGACAAAGGATCAATAAGGATGCTAGATTGCTCATACTAGTCGAACATCAGTGATTTCGCACAGTGTTAGGATTGGAAAAGTCGTATTTCGATTGGTGAATAAAGTATATGATAAAAAGCTGGAAATAAAATCATAACGAATTGAATACGGCCTTCTTTATAAAGTCATAACGGTATAATTAAACAGAAAAAAAGTTAATAATGTGTTACTATAGCGAGGGTTGATCGTATTTATGAGCAAACAATTAGATTGAACGTACTTCATATACTTGGTTCCTTTAACAGTTCTGATAATCTTCGTCTTCTTATAACTCTATCGAAATTTATCAAATGGACTAATTCCTTTACCTTCATTTTAGTTTCAGGAGTCCATTCC